CTTTTCTTTTCTTTTCTTTTCTTTTCTTTTCTTTTCTTTTCTTTTCTCTTCTCTTCTCTTCTCTTGTTTTCTTTTCTTTTCTTTCCTTTTCTTTTCTTTTGCTTTCTCTTCTTTCCCTTTCTTTCCTTGTTTTTCGTTGCTTTTCTTTCCAATTTGCTTTCCTTTGCTCCCTTCTTCTTTCCTTTCCTTCCCTTCCGCAAAAAAAGCTTGCAAAGGGAAGAATTATAATCTTCGCAACTTGTCGTATGGTGTTCAAGTGAACATATGTATGCTGTTCACTTGAACAGTATACTTTTCTGGTCGTACAGTATACTTGAACCCTCCGTCTAGCTGTCCTCATATAAGAATGAAATTACGCTCATGTGACTTTCAGCATATAATTTTAATCCGAAAATGTCTTCAAATTACAGCTGATTACTATTATGAATTGTTTACATAAGTAAATAGAAAATTCTTAATTATAATAATATGCTGAAGAAGATCAAGTGATTGTTTGATGAATATAATGAAATCTTGCATTATAAATAACTTGTGTTTTCCGATAGCTATTGTCAGTTAAATGTATTTTAAGTTATTTTTCTTTATTGTTTACGTTTCTTATTATCTAGTACTAAATCAATCCATAAGCGTTCGAGTCGGCAAGCTCGTAAAGGAGGCCACTCAGACCTGACCCGATAGGAAATGGCCACTTTTAACTAACTGACCAAGAAGTCCACACTACGCCGACGTAGAATTCCGTAAGAAATATTGTTAACAGTACAGAAACTGTTAAGTAATTCTCTTAAATGAAATGCGATTCTGCTTATACTTTATAATTATTCAAACTAAAGTATTTTTAAGCATTTTCTTATTAAGAATGTTGAGAGGAATTTTTTCTTTAATTTTTCTTTTTTATAAATTGAACATATTTACCAAACAAAACGTTTTCGCCCTCAAAATTTGTTTGTTTTCTCTCAACAAACTTGCACTTGTTGTTTTTGTCAAAGAACAAGCAAAAAACAATAAAAATATCATAAATATGAAACTAAAAGCTATTCAAGTGTGTAATGCATATTTTGTGCAAATTTCAAAAGCCAGTCAGTTGCGAGTCACTGACTTTTGTATCATATTTTTGACAAATTTTTGATATGCACAGTTACTTCTTTTTTTTTGGAAAATATGAAGGCATAAATGCGAAAGAAAAGGAAAATTTAAAAAAATCAATTCACTTGCGTCATAAGTAGTTCTCTTATTTTATGTTTTGTTTTAGTTAGCTTGACGGTACTATGTAGAACCGTAACATGGCGTTCGCCGTGATGAGGCTGATTATGGTGATGATCATGACTATTTTTATTATTGCTGTAATCATAATAGTGCTTATAAAGTCTGAAAACTTACAAGCTTACGGACTTAAATACCTATCGAGATATATATATATGTATTTAAACCTATAAAAATATATATTTTCTAAAGACTTCTTTGGCTATTTTGCAATTTTTCATTTGTTTTCCTTCTCAATTTTTTGTGAGGTGCGTTCAGTGGTAATAAACAAAATTGTTTGGCCGACTGCCAAATATTTCAAGTAGCGCAGTCTCCGCACGACAACGAGAACAGTAGCAAACAACAATCGTCGAGATTGTGATTATGCACAAAGTAAGTAAAAATATTACAGAGAAGAAAACCTAACACATATAGATGTCTTGTATGATATGTAGGTTCGTTTGTATATTTGCAGAAGCCAGTTATTTGCAATAATGTTCATATCCTGTACTATCTGGTTAATCTATGAAATTTTCAGACAAGCCCCTAAGATGAGTTACGAAATAAACCGTCAATCGAAAGACAAAAGGAAGAATATCATAATCAGTGACGTTTTAAGTAAGAAAAGGTCGTCGAAAAAAAAAAACGATAACAAAATATTTTTTATGAGAAATAAACATAAAAATAAGAAAAAATTTGACTTCAGTTTAATACTTTATTATACTACTTAGCAAAACCAATTCTTACTATATACATTTACACGTTCATGAAGAATGAAGTATGTATATATATGTTTAAATGCGTGTAAGTGTATGTACATATCTACATCATACATCATATACAAACTGCAATACATATACATAGTTGTAAGTAGTCTGGCCATTTAGCTTTGACGGATGATCTTTTTATGCAATAATAACTTTGATAACAATGCTGTTAGTGCTGATGATTATGTTATGTTCTACTAGTTTTCGAGTATTGTTGTCAGAGAAAGGAAAATAATGGAAAAACAATTTCCTGACTATGTTGTTACAATCTTTCTTTTAGTG